GATGGTGCCCGGTCAAAATACTGAAATGTATGGACGACCCCACACTCAAGTGGCTGACGCAAACGGTCTGCCAAATGGAGGCGATGTGGGAGGGGGCCAGACTGGAGGTTGAGGAAAGGGAGCTAATCCCGTCCATACCAAAGGCGAAGGTACTCTTCCCCATCGCAACTAACCTAGATGTAGCAAACGTAGGGGAGGAACACACCTTCGTAGGTCCCACCTCGTCTAACGTACTAGATCTAACACTCGTAACGGGAAAGAGTACTTTGGTATCTGGCTGGAGAGTCCTTGAAAGACCATCCTTCTCAGACCACAAGTACATTCAATTCAGGTGCGAATGTAAACACTCTCCGAAGATAACTGTTTATAGAAACCCCCGGAACACAAACTGGGAAAAGTTTTTAAAAAACAGTTACTTCGAAGCTCGCGACTCGCCCGGGCACATTGAAATCCCCGGAAGACATAGAAACGTCCCTAGAGACCCTGTCCAACGAACTACTGGATGCGTACCACGCATCATGCCTACCCTCAAGAACGAAAAAGAGGACCAAACCACTCTGGTGGAACCGGGACTTATCGCTTCAAAGAAACAACCTCAAAGAATTCTTCAAAATCGCCAAACAGGCGAACGAGGAGATAATCAATACGGAATACAAAACCCTACTCAGGGAGTACAAGAAGGAAATACGCAGGGCACAAAGAAACTCGTGGAGGAACTTCTGCTCCAATATCGAGAAAGTCCCAGAAACGGCTAGACTTCGGAAGCTGCTATCAAAGCAACCTACCATACAGAGTCAGATGAAGCGAGAAGATGGACAGTGGACTAAGGGCAGTGAAGAAGCCCTAACAGCACTAATGGAAGCTCACTTCCCAGGATGCACCGAGGTGGCTGACGCTACAACGCATCAGGACCTAGTAACTGAGGAAGAGCATCCCCCAACAGGTCTCATATCGTCTACCCTCATGTTGGCGGTGCAGAGTGCCAAAATCGTTGGAATAGGTCGCAGACGTATGACGGCTGCCGTTGGCTTCGGTTTCTGGTGTCGGGGTTCGTTGCCTTGTACGCTGTTGGTTGGAACGGTGTGGATAGGTGGTGTGGGGCACTGATCTCGTAATTGTAGGAGTGTGGTACCGCACTGGAACGTTGTTTCAATGGCGCATAGGAAGTAGAAAGCTTCGGGATGCCCCGGTGTCGTTTGTCGCTTCCGTTGTATTCTCCTATGGTTACCATTGCCACTATCCGGTTCTCGTTCATGTGTAGCGGAGTTTTTATTCGCGGGTCGGGGGAGTCGTCGTTCCCGGCTTATCCCGTGTCAGTCGAGGACGCGAGTCGTTGCCCGACGTGTTCTGGCGACATCAATCGATGGTCCGTGTGCCGCGCTTGCCACATTCCCAGCAGAATAGGATCGAGGGATTTTGGCAGTCGTATATCGCATGCTGTGCTTCACCACACCGGCGACAGGCTACGCGTGGGTTGGCGATGGAGGCCGAGATCATGCGATGTGCCACATCGGGAGTTACCGTACCGCCTGGATTTGATGGCTGTCTCCTTGGTGAGTCTGTGGAGTCCCAGTGGGGCTTCCGAAATGGTGTCCGATTGGAGTCTGTTCTGTAGCCGGCCTTGCGTATCTGGGCGTGTGTCGCGGGGGTGCGAGAGTGGTCGGGATGATCCGCTCTTGAATACTCTTGAACTCCGTGTGGCAGCAGTGTTACCTGTGAGAAGTCTTGAAGTTCGTGACAGCGCACGTACATTTGGTATGCTGGTAGGGCGTTGTCGTAGATCCTGTTTAGTTCCTTAATCGCGTCGTAGTCAGCGTGGTGGATGAGTAGCCGCATCTCGATGAGGAAATCTTTGAACAGTTCCCCCACCGCTTGCTTGCGGGTTCGGATCTGGTCTTCCAATTGTTCAAAATAACATAGTGGTAAGAAGAACGTTAAGAATTCCTGGCGGAAATTTTCTCATGAGGAACTTTGTAGGCGGCTGGTGAGGAACCAACGACTGGCACGGTATGTGAGGAGTTCGGCCATGGCCCGTGGCAGCTGGTTGGTGTCCACCCCATACGAGAGCGCACGTTTTTCGAGCAGTTCTATGAACGATAGAGGGTCATCGTGGCCGTCAAACTGGATTCCCCATTTTCGAATTCGTTCCGCAATTGGTGCGGCGCGGTTGTAGTGGTGCCCTTCCATGGGTCTGTCGGTCGCGGTCACGATCCTCGGTACGGGCGCTGGGTGAGTCTCTGTAGCTAGGGGCCTTGGAAACGGGGCTGCAGGGGTGTGGTCTTCAGGGGCTGCGGGGAATCGTAATCCGGTCCTGGGATCCATTTGGCGAGTGTCGGATGGTCCAGGAGTAGATGGCGGTGGTGACTTGGAGCGCGAACGTGAGGCTGGCTTGACATAATGCGTCTCGAACTCTCCTAGGCGAACCCAGGCGTCTTGCGCGAGTGGCCCGGCGACTAGTGCGGAAAATTTCTTTCGGCGCTCATCGAACGTTCCTTCGTTACCGAATCCGAATTCTTCGGCGAGGACTTCTAGCTCGTCCCGACGGAGTTTGTGGATCCAGCCGGTGCTGACCCCTGGATTGGAAAAGTGTCCCGCAGGGTATGCCTCCTCTGGTTGTTCCTCGTCGTGATATTTCATGGTGGTTTTTCTGTTGATTTTGACACTGAGTCACTGTTAAACGGCACTTTTAGGTTCGGCACTGCGTATAATTTCGCGATTTTTTTCGCGTGAGTGAGTTGTTGGTGAGTTTAGCTTGTCTATTTAATTTTTTTCTTTTGATGGCAGTGGGTCTTTACTAAACGAAGTCCCTGATCGGTTTTCCTGAACTTTTAGTACAAAAATCCTTTAAAGTCCCTGCTTGGGCGCCGCTTTTGAGGACCTGTCTCAGTCTGGGATATGCATCAGTCTGTACAGGGTCCTGAATTACAAGATAGTTTATAATTCACGAGGACTTTATTGGGAAAACGGGGACTTTGCCAGCAAGTGCAATAAATTAATTAGCGAAATCACAAAACTTTTTGGTTTCTTGGCTTTTAATGGGTTTCTTTATTCTTTCTTGTTATTATGCTACACTTGGTTATGTTGACCGACTGACCGCGACGTGTATTGTAGTTGTGCTGATGGACTCTCGATCGACTACCTCGTCTCCACGCCAGGCAGTGCCTTTTATGCATCCGCTGGCCATCGATTTTCCCACCAATATCTTACAGATATCTTATTTCTGATTCGGAATGTTGGAAAGTTCTTACATAAATATATATTGCCGAGTGGATTGCCCGGTAACAAAGGGTTACCCAACGCAATCGCAATTCGTTGGTGTTGATATCTTCACCTGGGAGTAGCATTGGTTGCATCGACTGCTTGTGACGAACCATGGGATCTATGGTTCGTTACAACATAAAATCAATTACTTCATCGGTGCTGCGATCAATATTGCAGGGCTTCACAATGAAACTCATATGAAACTGAAAATCAATTTTCTCCATAATCGTGAAAAACGGGCAAGGGAGACATATTAATTATAAATCTGCATACTTTAGTGAATAACTAAACGTTGTTATCTCGACCCCCTCTGTCCCCCACGAAAGTTCTACTCTAAACAACACAACTAATTTTGTTAGATTTGTTAGATTGTTAGATACGCCCCGCTGGAGAAAAAACACTTTTCACTTTCCCTTTGAATTTTACTTTTCAGGCAAAAGTCATACTTTTCGTTTTCAGGCGCTCTGGAATCCGCAAAAGTCTGATTTATTTACTCCTATGCTGTTAAGCGCAACTGTACTGTAACGCGTTAGTGCCAGATAATACAAAAAGTTCTCTGTTATGTTAAACAGAGATTTATCTATAACCAAATTGGGCTGATACAGCTGTGCGAACGAATTAACTATTTGGTGTCGCACAGAGAAATTTTTTCAGATCCAATTTTAAAATAAGCATAAAAAAAAATAGTTTTAAACAGAGCAAAAGCTCAATTTCTCTGGTAATTGTGTCAAATTCATGTCAATGCATAAAAAAGTCATCTATTTTTCTCCTTTTGCAAATAAGATTCGTTTTGTTTTAGAAATAGACGTTAACTTTTAATTTTAAGGAGGAATATGTTGCCGTTTTGAAAACGGAAAAATTTTTCATTTTGCAAACGCGCCTAACTTTCCGTTTTGAGAAGTATATCGAAAATGTTTTCTGAAAGTGAAAACTGTAGCCTTTCTGATAGCACTACCCGACACGATTTTTCCTCAAGGAACAAAACCAACTTTTTCTTAATCATTTGGGGATTTGAAATGGTTTGATGATATTTTTTTTCTATGGCAGGCCTTTTTTTGAAGAATTTTTGAAAACTCGAATTTTGTTGTAAATCTTTTTTTAGAGGTAGCGCTTCTTTTTTTTAACATAACTCTAGTATCTTACGTCTGGTTTTAAAGAACTTTGCTATTTTGAAAAGATAATTAAAACAGTTAAGCCCAAACACTTTGTGATTTCTGGGAAATATAAAGCATTGAAATGCAAAAATTATGATTTTTATGCGGTATTTTTTACGAAATTTTGATTTTAAAAACTCAGAAAAAGTCGAAAAAAAGATATCCTGTGTTCTCTATTTTTTTGCGTATAGGTGCATTAATTAGGCGTCGTTTAAGGTATTGCTCATTAAAATCTAAGAAACCTTTTCGAAGGTTGCGGGCCCAAACATTCCGTTTTTTAAATTTAATCAGAAATAATATATATATATAATATAATATATAATAATATATAATAATATATAATAATATATTATCACTGACCTTGCTATGAACTACTTAGTAAGTGACGTAGTAGTATATTAATATACGAAAATATTAGCATTGTGCCACCGTAACTAATACGTCACTTACTAAGTAGTTCATAGCAAGGTCAGTGATAATTCACGAGCATATGTATACATATGTATGTACATATTTACATTCGTTGCATATATACATTTTTATGTGTGTATATTAGAAACACCGGCAGTGATCGACGTAGCAGCATTTTAAATTGTGCGATCGACTCTCGAGGTTGCTTTTTAAAAAAGCTCTAGGGAAAAATTTAATTGATTGAAACTTTTTATTTCTGTAAACAGGCTAAAATGTCATCATTTGATTTAAAAAATCTTAATGATTGCTTGGAGAAGTATCTGCCAACTGATAAGCTAAAAGAGGTCAAACGAATTTTGTATGGTCTCGAAGAAGAGTGAGTACATCTTATACAAAAACAGTGCGTAAAAGTTATATACTATATAGCTTCTTGCAGAAATATTTAAGCGTGGATGGTGTTATGACATTAGAATTTTTTTAATAGTGCTATGACACTAGACTTAAGCATGGTATCCAGCACCACAGAATCGAAAAATTCCTGTCAAACTTCATATACAAAAATCTGTTCCAGGAATTTTTCGTTTATGTTTTCCTGGCGTGGTTATCCAGCAACATGAGCGGAATCCACAGATTTATATCGATAGTTGCCTTTTGGGACCATGTGTGGACTGCAAAAACAGCTGATGCACAGCTCAGGAATATATGTTCAACAGTTATTCCTAAAGTGAATGGTGCAAGATGGAGGCAAAAACTGTGCGCAAAACCAAAAAGAGAGATGAACAGTATTCACTTTTTTTTGCAACCATATATGCCGACACCAACACAATCACTTCATCGTCAGAGTGCATTTTGTTCCTTTTTTAATTTTAGTTGAATTTCTCAGCTCGCATTGTTTACGAAACACAGCTGATTCATCAACCCTTTTTAAGTATGTTCCACACCTTCACGGAATAACTAGAAAAATCCTGGCAGAGATGGCTACGAACACTAATTTTGCGTTTTGTCTCTCATACAATCTCTCTCTTCGAAGAAAAGTCTAATGTCATAACACCTTAATCCGGGTGCCACAGGTTGACACTCCAACTAAATTGGAACTCGGTCTGTGGCACCCCGTTTATGAATGTACATATGTATATGTATAAATAAACATGTGTACAAAAAATTGTTAATTATAGAACTAGCATAAGCATATGGATGTAGATATACAGATTTATTTATAAGCTAATGCGTATATATGTATGTATATCATATATAAACACTGTGACGATTTTAAATGACTGATCGGTTTTAGATCAAATTTCTATTTACCGCTGTTTTAAGCCCAGTACTCAGACGCGATCAATTTTCCGTCATCCGAAAGTGCTATCTAATTCGCTCGGTGCCCAGTGTGACCATTGTAGGAAAATTGAATGCTCTATGGTTACACAGTGTTCTGTTTATTTAATCCTAGTACCAAAGACTATACAATACCAGGATGCTGCATGAGCGACGAAAAAGCTGTTCTATGGCGAGGCTTACCGGTGCGCTCCATGGACAGAGGGAGTGCGCGGAGTTTCAATTCTCTTTTCGGCTATGCTTCGTCTCTGATCGCGAGCCCGCTGCCCGACAGCTTCGTCTGTTCGTAAGAAACGAGCCGAGCGAGCTCGAGATCGCTCAGCAGACGCGCACAGTGGGCCCAGCTTGCTAAGTTATAAAGTGAAAAAGGGTTCAATACATTTGTGTACATGTCATTTTCATATCATATCTCTGCTCATATCTCCTAAACTAAATTTATCTTGAAAATAAGATTCAGTAAAGCTCTGGAAAATTTCCTATTGGATGTGTACATTTATTTTATTCAAAGCGTTCATAAAATATGTTTTAATTTTGCCACCTCTTTTCGGCTGACTCCCCACTGTAAATACACACAATACAAACAAATAACAACTTTAAAAACAAACTCGACCTATTCAGGGCCGTATCAACCCTCAACCGGCCCTGGCAAACATCATCTGGGGCCCTCCATTTTTTCACGCCAGCTCCCTTCTTTTATACCCGTTCTCAAAAAAGAGTTTGTGGTATTTGTGGTAAAAGTGGATGTGTGCAACGCAGAGAAGGAAACGTTTCCGACCCCATAAAATATATAGATTCTTGATCAGCATCAATAGCCGAGTCGATATAGCCATGTCTGTCTGTCTGTCCGTCTGTCTGTCCGTCTGTCTGTCTGTCTGTCTTGTTGACCTAGAGCTCAGAGACTATAAGAGCTAGGGCAACCAAATTTGGTTTCCACACTCATGTGATATCACACTGCTACAAGTGTATTTCAAAATTTCGCCTCGCCCCCTTCCGCCCACACAAAGCCCGAAAATCTGTGGCAGGCACATTTTTAAAAGATACGATAAAACTAAAAACGCATTATCGTAGGGAATGCCCATATCTACCGGATTGCCGAATCTGAATTAGATCGGATCATAATTATAGCCAGAATGAAGAAATTAATTTTCAGTTGTTTCCCCTGCCCCCACCCACAAACGAAAACGCAACTCATTTTCCTTCTCGCTCGTACACTCTGCCGCGTTCAGTGCGCGAGCAACCCCTAGCGGAAGAGATGTAGAATCGAAATGGAACATGTACAATCTACATGTTAGATGTAGAATATACATTGTATATGTAGATGTAGATAGCAGATGTAGCAAAAAAAAATGTAAATTTTTTTTTTTTCTAAAATTCTAAAAAATTATATGCTCAAAAATGTATATGCTGACAAAGTACGGGTATAAGTAGAGTCGCGTCCCTAGAAGCGACTCGCACGTTCCTTCTCGTTTTTTCTGTTTTCTTTGTAGGAAATGAAAAATTTCTTCCAAAACGTATTTAATTTCGCAATATCACATTTTCTTAATTTTTTACAACGCACAATAGACTGCACTTACCTGATAATAATTTTGCCCTCTACACTGGCGAATAGGCTATTGGCTTAAAATGGGGCATGAACCAGTCCAATGCATATATCTAGCAATAGTTAGACCAATATTACTCTACGGATTCACGGTGTGGTGGCCTGCAATATCAAAAAGGACCATCACCAAACCACTAGGAAAGGTACAGCGAACTGCCGCCCTATGAGTCAGTGTAGCTCTCCGCACCACCTCAAATGGTGCTCTAAAGGCTACACTATGACTTCAGAATCTTGACCGAACAGGTAAAGAGCGGGCAGAAATGGCAGCAATTCGTCTAAGAGACTCGGACCAATGGGTGTCACAGCACATCGGTCACTGCTCCATCTTAAATGGAAACAACATCGTCCCAAAAACAACGAACTAATGCGTTCCGAGGGAGTACACAGATTCTCCTTTCAAAATAATTATCCCTAACAGACAACTGGCTCGAGGGACAACCTGGCCCAGACGGAGCCATAAAAATCTTTACAGACGGCTCTAAGTTGGAAAATAAAGTTGAAGGAGGTATCTACTCCGAGCAACTAAATAAAAGGCACTCCTTCAGACTTCCACACCACTGCAGTGTCTTTCAGGCAGAAGTCAATGCAATCGGGGAAGCTCTGAACTCCATCCAAACAGTTGCCGTCACGGCAACTCATCTAAATATCAAAGTGACAGCCAAGCTGCGATCAAATCACTTAATGCGATTACATCGAACTCGGCTATCGTAGCAAACTGCTGCAAGTCTCTACTCGAGATGGCTTAGCAATATGTTACCACGATGTCGCATAACTCGGCAGACTTTGCCGAACATAAAAAAGAAGCGCACCTCGGAGCTTTGTAAGCTCAGCAGAAAAATATGCAGTCATACGGACATTTGCTAATATGCACTCATGCAAACAGGCTGGGTGCCTCTTCTGCCGAAGTAGAGATGAGGAAGAGGAAGAAACGTTGAAAACCTGTTCTGCTCCTGCTCGGCTCTCAGCAGACGAAGCAAACTAACTTAAATAGATAGAATATCTAAAATATTCCACATAAATCATAAGCTCACATATATGCTGACTGAGTACGGGTATAAAAGTTGAGTCGCAGCCACTGCAGCGACTCACACAGTTCCCTCTCGTTTTTAAATAGCTTTCGCTTCTATCTTATATGCATATCTATTTGTTTCTTACAGCCAATTACTTGATCTGCCCGATAGTGCAACAGACATAGCACAGAAGCATGGATTTGAAATTAAAGGCTATCGGTTTACGGCGCGAAGGGAGCAAATACGCAAGCCACGGGTGGTGCGTGTCGGCGCTATACAGAATTCAATAGTGTTGCCCACCACAGCACCCATTGAAGACCAACGCGTGGCGATCTGGAACAAGGTGAAGATTATGATCAAAGCAGCAGCAGCGGCTGGATGTAATATTGTGTGTACTCAAGAAGCGTGGAGTAAGTATATAATTGCATAAGTAGCTATTCCAAGAACTGATCACCACTATTTTCAATTTGTGCAGCAATGCCCTTTGCATTCTGCACACGGGAAAAATTTCCCTGGTGTGAATTCGCCGAAGAGGCTGAGCATGGCCCCACGACAAAGATGCTCGCTGACCTGGCTAAGTCCTTCAATATGGTAATTATTCACTCAATCCTGGAACGAGACATAGAACATGGTGAGACCATTTGGAATACGGCCGTAGTTATCTCGAACAACGGTCGATACTTAGGCAAGCATCGTAAGAACCACATTCCCAGAGTGGGAGACTTCAATGAGTCGACCTACTACATGGAAGGTAATACTTTTCATCCGGTGTTCGAAACCGAGTTCGGAAAGCTAGCTATCAACATCTGTTATGGTCGCCATCATCCACAGAATTGGATGATGTTCGGTTTAAATGGCGCAGAGATTGTGTTTAATCCCTCTGCCACAATTGGTAGACTTTCGGAGCCACTGTGGAGCATCGAGGCACGGAATGCCGCCATTGCAAATAGTTATTTTACGGTTCCTATCAACCGCATCGGCACGGAAAAGTTTCCCAACGAGTACACGTCGGGAGACGGCAGCACAGCACACAAAGAGTTCGGTCCCTTTTACGGTTCATCGTATGTTGCTGCGCCGGACGGCTCCAGAACACCGGTAGGTCAAAACCAAAAAAAACTAATTACGTTATCAATAAAAAAAAATGTTTCAGAGTTTATCGCGAGACAAAGATGGCTTGCTGGTGACTGAGCTTGATCTGAACCTGTGCCGTCAGATTAAAGACTACTGGGGCTTCCGAATGACTCAACGTCTTTCTCTTTACGCAGAATCATTTCAAAGAGCATCGGAGTCGAACTTTAAGCCTCAAATTATTAAAGAGTCTTTACAAACAAAAGATTAAAGCGACTACATACAGTCCACAATTTAAACGAGAAGGAACGTGCGAGTCGCTTCTGGGGACGCGACTCTACTTATACCCGTACTCAGTCAGCATGTACATTTTTGAGCATATGATTTTTTAGAATTTTAGTATTAAAAAAAAAAAATTTTACATATTTTTTCTACATCTGTTATCTACATCTACATATATTATGTATATTCTACATCTAACATGTAGATTACACATGTACCATTTAGATTCTACATCTCCTCCGCTAGGGGTTGCTCGCGCACTGAACGCAGCAGAGTGTGCGAGCGAGAAGGAAAATGAGTTGCACGGTCGTCGGCAGGAGGGGGAAGGGGAAGCAACTGAAAATTTCTTCATTCTGGCTATAATTATGATACGATCTGATTCAGATTCGGCAATCTGGTCTATATAAGTATTCTCTACGATACTGCGTTTCTAGTTTTATCGTATTGTAACGAAATATCAAATTCAAATTGTAGCGCCCTTAGAGCCCTTGACCCGGGCTATCGATAGTTAGCGGTCATCTCGAACGGGCAGACGTAGGGCAGAAAAGAAGAAGAAAAAGCACATGTATGAAGAAAAGATCAAGCGTGAAGGTTATGCGCTAAGAATAAACTGAAGAAATAAGGAGAAGGTGTGTTATAATTTCACGGAATAGGACGGCTACCGAGTTTAGGCTGCTGCCTTTGTTAAAGTTCAGCCCCCCCAACCTGAAAGGAAAATCCGCTCGGCCCGCCGCGTAGCACAATTTTGTTACATTGGTGTCAGGTGTGGGGTAGCGATCAGATCTGCAACGATCTCTAGCCATAATGCCAAAACGAGGAGGAAAACAACGTGACCGTTCCGTGAATCCGGAGTCCGAGGTAGTGACTCCAGCTTCATTGACGGCGATTTTAACCGCTTCCCAGCACCAGATGGATCTCAAAATAGAGAAGATGTTCGATTCGTTTCAACGAACGATGCAACGTGTAATGGAGGCCCCACCACGAAATTCGTCGGTCCCTTCCCCAGAAACACTGGCCAGACCTCCCGCCGCATGGACGTTCGCAGCAGATGCAAGGGAAAACGACGCGGTGACTGTGTGCCCAGAAAGCCCACAGGCCGCCTCTACCCTGCGACCTTCAAGCGGCCGAGTAACTGCCTTTCAACCTGGGACACTGCCTTCGTACGACGGCTCGACATCATGGTCTGACTACGAGCGAATTCTGGAAATGGTGGCGGAGAATCAACAGTGGAGCGACGCTAAGCGCTGCCTGGGAATAGCACTGAATGTTCAAGGGCAAGCCCAAAGGTACTTCAGCACACTACCAGTCAGCACAACTCGCAACTATCAGCAACTAGTGGTATCGATGCGAACACAGTTTGCTCTGGACTGCCAGGCCAACCACCAACAGTTGCGCAACCGCGCACAACGATCCAAGGAGTCTCTTATGGATTTCGCCATAGAACTTGAACGCTTGGGTCGCGTGGTGTTTGCCGGTACTTCGGAGGACGTCTATAATTCCATAATGGTGCAGCAGTTTGTTGATGGAATGCGTGAAACGGCACTTCAGTATCCCGTGCTGGCCAGTAAGCCCTCGACTCTCGCCGAAGCCCGAGACATGGCCATTAAACTCCAAACGCTGGTGGTGCGAAACACCGGTCGCTCCGTGTTCTACGTGGCCGACGCCCCTAGCGGACAAGGATCGAATGCCACACCCCGCAATCTAGGTCGAGAGCCCACCGCATCGCGAGCAGGGCCCAAGCCACTCGAAGAGGTCGGCGCGGGAAACTAACGGAAGTCAGCTCCGCGGGGCGAGAGTTGACTGCCACCTACATAGCCCCCCAAAAAAAAAAATAGACGTCCAGGTGTCGCGGACAGCAGAAGCCGCCAACGACGAGCAAAGGGTGCCAGAAGAGGAAGAAGTACTTCGGATATGGGAGCTCAACAACCTCACTGGGCATTCCGCGTCGGAGCCGGCAGCGTCGACACAAGTAGACAAACCCAAAAACGAATCGGGCAGCGTACTAGCGTTGCCCGTCAAAGAATCGATGCCCACAACAGATGGAGAGGCGGAAGAGGACAGCCAAGGCAGGCGTGCCCACCGCGGGATCCCCAGCGATGCACCGACAGCTACGTACTCCCGTAACACATTAAGTGACAAAAGCTTACATTGTGTAATTCTATTTCAGAAACGCCCGGTACGGATGGTAGTAGATACAGGGGCCTCAGTATCCCTGCTCAACAGGCGGGACGTGAGGGACGCACTGCGTACCACCGCTTGCCATGTGGTCCTGCGGGGGCCATCCTCCGAGACGTTTGCTGCGACTCAGCGCGTCTCCGCAACTATACGGATCGGCCACCGCGCAGTGCTGCAAGACTTTCTGCTGGTGGACGGCGCCCCGCCCAGCCTGCTGGGAGTCGATTTTCTCCTCCAGAACGAAGCGACGGTGGACCTAAGCGCGATGCTCCTTAAGTTTGCCTGGGGTACGGTGCCATTGCACGTTACGAGTTCTATACAAGGGAACGTGCTCTACTTAACGGAAAGAGCGTGCATACCACCCCGGAGCGACACGCAATTTAACCTGAGCTGCGCCCCGGTGACGCCGCAGAAACAAGTGGTCCTAGAACGTGGAGAAGTATCGGATCTACCCCCGGGCACGGCTCTGGGTAGCGCCATCGTAGACGCTACCGGCGACACCCTAGTGGTACGGATCCTGAATTTCAACGACCAAGAAGTGAGCCTGCCACCGCTAGCGGCGTTGGGCGAATTGAAAGCGGTAGACGAAGTGCGTAAGAGGGCGGAGTCGGAGGAGGATCCCATAGATTGGAATCCTCTGCTGGATTACGCCGAGCTTGGCGTCCGGAAGCCGCTGGTGAAGTTGCTCTGTCGTTATCGCAAATCATTTGCCAGAAACGACGACGAGACGGGCAAGACCGACATCACGCACCATGTCATTAACACGGGGCAAGCACGGCCCCATAAGCAACCAGCCCGGCGGTTGGCGCTAGCGAAGAGAGAAGAAGTGGAGCGCCTGCTAGCGGAGATGCGCGCCAACGGAGTGATACGTCCTTCCAACAGCGCCTGGTCCTCACCTGTAGTATTAGTCCGTAAGAAGGATGGTGCGACCAGGTTCTGCGTAGACTACCGACGGCTCAATGATGTCACGATTAAAAACTCGTATCCCCTGTATCCCTGTATCCCATCATCGTGCATTCGAGCACGGCAGAGGAGCATTTAGAGCATTTGGAAAAGGTGTTCGAACGACTGGCAGCAGCGGGATTAAGACTGAGCCCAAAGAAATGTCAATTTTTGAAGAACGAGGTCAACTTTCTAGGACACGTGGTGGGCAGTCAGGGTCTGCGGGCTTGCCCGGAAAAGATAACTAAGGTCACTGACTGGCCAAGACCGCAAAACCAAAAGGAGGTGCGCTCATTTGTAGGGCTCTGCTCTTATTACCGGAAATTTATCAACGACTTAGCAACGATCGCCAAACCCCTCCACGAATTGACGGAGGCTCGGCGCACCTTTACCTGGACCACAGCTACGGAGCAATCTTTCGACACGCTGAAGACTAAGCTAACTACAGCTCCGATCCTAGCCTTTCCAGAACCAAAAGAGCTCTTCATGTTGGACACGGATGCCTCTGACCATGGGGTAGGCGCCGTACTGAGCCAGATGCAGAACGGTCAAGAGGTGGTCATCGAATATTACAGCAAAACTTTCAGTCCTGCAGAGCGCAATTATTGCGTAACTCGAAGAGAACTGTTGGCCGTAGTTAAGGCCACCAAACATTTTCACCATTATCTCTACGGACAAAAATTTGTCGTACGGACGGACCACGCGTCACTTAAATGGCTCCTCACGTTCCGGGAGCCGGAAGGCCGGATCGAGAGATATGGAGATACAGCACCGCCCTGGGAAACGCCACGGTAATGCAGACGGACTATCTCGCCGTCCCTGCAACGATTGTCGAGTTTGCGAAAAAGCAGAAGAAAAGGCGGGACGAGTACTTTTCCTAGAAGCAGTACCAGAACCTCTAAGCGAACACCAGAAGAAAGACACGGAGCTAGCAGTCGTCTATGAATGGGTGGTGCGAGGAGAGAGGCCGCCGAAGAGTACAATTTGGGGTGAGAGTCCAGACGTGAAAGCTTATTGGCACCTATTCTCTCGTTTACAGCTGAAGGAGCTAGTGATTATGGTCACCAACCGAGATGGCGAACAGGTCCCTGTCATTCCGACCGCGGTACAGCCGCAAATCCTGCAAGCCGTCCACCAATCTTCCACCGGAGGCCACTTCGGTATAAGGAAAACTCTAGCCAAGGCTAAGAAACGGTTTTACTGGATCGGGCTAAGCGCGGACGTAGCAATATACTGCGCTCGTTGTTTGGCGTGTCAAGCCAGAAGCGGTCCGGCCAGACGAACGGTCGGCAGGCTCCAGCCCAGCGCCATAGGTATAAGGTATATAGGTGCCCCATTCGAACGAATCACCATAGACATACTGGGCCCCTTACCCACCACCACCCGGGGCAACCGATACATAGCTGTAGTCATGTGCTACTTTACCAAGTGGCCGGAATGCTTAGCTCTACCGGACCAGACAGCAGAGAAGGTGGCGTGCGCCCTAACGGAAGAGGTGTTCTGCCGGTATGGAGTCCCCTTTGTGCTTCATTCGGATCAAGGAAGGAACTTTGAATCGGAAGTTTTTCGAGCCTGCCTACGATTAATGGACATCGAGAAAACCCGCACCACCCCCCTCCACCCACAATCAGACGGGATGGTTGAACGTTTCAACCGCACGCTGCTCAGCTATCTGGCTAAATTCGTAGATGACCATCAACGGAACTGGGATGAACGGTTGCCGTGGGCGCTGTGGGCCTACCGAGCAGCAGTTCACGAGGCTACTGGATTTTCGCCCGCGAAGTTAACCTTCGGCCGGGAGATGCGATTGCCGTGTGAGCTGCTGTATGGCCGACCAACACCCGACGCAGAGAGCTTCCCGGCCTTTGTAGGTAAACTACAATCTCATTTGCGAGAAACACATCAGTCCGCAAGGGAACACCTGAAGGCCACGGCAGGCCAGCAAAAGGACCGTTACGACCTACGCTCCCACACCGTCCAGTTCGAGCCGGGTGATCTCGTATGGCTGTATGCACCCGTTCGGAAAGTGGGACGATGTCCGAAGCTCCAATCAGACTGGATTGGCCCCGCCACCGTGATCCGCAGTTCTTCCGACCTAGTCTACGAGATACGCCTTTCCGGAAAACGCGCCACCAGGACGGTACACGTAAACCGACTAGCGAGCTACAAGGAACCTGTTCCTGAATAAGTCGGCCAGGAGGCTCAACTCTAAGAGGGGGGCAATGTAACGAAATATCAAATTCAAATTGTAGCGCCCTTAGAGCCCTTGACCCGGGCTATCGATAGTTAGCGGTCATCTCGAACGGGCAGACGTAGGGCAGAAAAGAAGAAGAAAAAGCACATGTATGAAGAAAAGATCAAGCGTGAAGGTTATGCGCTAAGAATAAACTGAAGAAATAAGGAGAAGGTGTGTTATAATTTCACGGAATAGGACGGCTACCGAGTTAAGGCTGCTGCCTTTGTTAAAGTTCAGCCCCCCCAACCTGAAAAGGAAAATCCGCTCGGCCCGCCGCGTGGCACAATTTTCTTACATTATCTTTAAAAATGTGCCTGCCACAGATTTTCGTCCTTTGTAGTGGCGGAAGGGGGCGGGGCGATATTTTGAAATACACTTGTAGCAGTGTGATATCACATGAGCCTGGAAACCAAATTTGGTTTCTCTAGCTCTTATAGTCTCTCAGATAAAGGCGCTCATCAAGACGGACAGACGGACGGACGGACAGACGGACGTGGCTATATCGACTCGGCTATTGATGCTGATCAAGAATATATATACTTTATGGGGTCGGAAACGTTTCCTTCTCTGCGTTACACACATCCACTTTTACCACAAATCTAATATACCCCGTAACTTTTTTTTGAGTACGGAAATAAAAAGATTAAAAAGATTTTCGATGTTAAAATATATATGTATGTCGTAGATTGAATAAGTAATTATATTGTTTATTGAATAAAGAATGAGAACGGATCAAGGGAAGTTCTGGTGTATACCCTTAATAGATGTTGTAGAGTTGCTGCATAGAGCTTGGCGTGACAACGAAGTGAATGCTTTCAGCCGAGTATGTCAAAGTGTGGAAAAGGGGAAGAGAGGCAACCCTAGTGAGTCTGACAGTCAGTCAGAGTTGGACAGGGGAGACACTCTTGATGTGTGTGGTCTTGTCGAATATATACCAGGTCGACACTAGGGTACAGACGGCACTCTATACAACAAACATACGAACCCGGTGCGAGTTACACAAACAATTACCTACATTCATCTTTTTTTTTTTTTGTATGTATAGGAGGGAAAAGCATTGAAAGCCGATAAGTGTGGGACTTGGAATTTCCTCACCCACTAAAAACCCCCCTACTCTCCGTATCCCTCTCGCGGTACGACCGCTAAGTATTACTTCGCGAGGGGGAGATGGCATGAAAGCCGTCACTAGATCCTATCTAGGATTTGAATTTCGATTGCACTGTCTTTCAGTGCGATGCAAGGATTGGATGATCTCTGCAGCGTAGGTGCTCACGGCATCCCAATTGTTTTGCGAGCTAAGTAGGATATCCATTAATTCATTGACTATAAATGGCCTCCCAATGTCTAGGCTTAGCTCTTCCCGGTCAGCAGAGAATCTTGGACAGGCAAAAAATACATGTTCAGCGTCTTCTATGGTCCGTGCACAGTGCGTGCAAAACGGATCCGACTCGCATTTAAATCTATGTAGGTAGAATTTAAAGCACCCAAGTCCTGTTAAAAGCTGCGTTAGATAAAAGTTAGTCTCCCCAAAAGTTCTACTCACCCAGGGTCCTATGTCCGGGACTATGCGTCTAGTCCATATGCCGTTGGGTGTGTTACGCCATCGCTCTTGCCATCTACGTTGGGTCTCCGCCTCGCGGATGGCCTGGTCTTCGATGGTGGTTCCAGCGGCGAGAAGGTCAATTGGCGCCATGCCGGCCAATACTAGGGCCGCATCTTCGGAGACGGTGCGGTAGGCACTAAGGACTCTCAGTGTACATCTTCGGTAGGCCGCTTTGCAGGTGCGGCTGTACGTTGGGAGCTCCATAGCTGGTGCCCATATTTGAGCAGCGTACATAATGATGGCTCTGACGACAGAGCAGATGATCAGACTGCTCCTCTGTCTTGGACCGCCGATGTTGGCCATTATGCCGGATAGCACGCTTGCTGCCCTGCCGGCTTTGACTCCGGTTGCTTCCAGGTGCTGCTTGAAGCTTAGCCTGTGGTCCAGAAGGACTCCCATTTACTTGATAGCCGGGGACGACTCGATTTCGTCTGTTCCAACAACCACTCTGGTTGTCTCTACCTTTTTCCTGGTGCTAATCAGGACCGATTCGGTTTTGTGCGCTGCTAGGCTGAGGCCGTTTTCCTGGAGCCAGCACATCACTCGTCAGACTGTCTCGTTCGTGTTCTCCTCTAGTTCTGTCAGGGTTTTATGTACCGCTACTACCGCGATGTCGTCTGCGAAGCCAACGATGCTGCAGCCGGCTGGTGTGTCCAGTCGTAGGATGCCATCGTACATGGCGTTCCACAGAAGCGGGCCGAGAACAGACCCCTGTGGAACGCCTCCTTTAACTTGCCGTCGTTTTTGTCCCGTCGAGGTGTCGAACAGCAACACTCTGTTTTTAAAATAGCTAGCTACTATGCTCACCAGGTACTCAGATACACCAATTCTGGAGAGGGCGGCGATGATGCTTGGCCACCTTGCAGAGTTAAAGGCATTGTTTACATCTAGTGTAGTTACCAGGCAGTAATTCTTGGTGCCTCTCTTCCCAGCTATGGCTTCGCGGGCTTTACCCACCACTGCTCTGATCGCGTCGGTGGAGCTTCTCCTCATCCTAAAGCCGAATTGGAGTTCAGATTTGCGATGATTCGCTCGAACAGCTTCCCAGTTACGCTGATCATGCACAGAGGCCTGTATCCAGCCGGTTCATCGGGGTCCTTCCCAGTCTTTGGTAGAAGCACGAGCCTCTGGAGCTTCCAGCCCGTGGGGAAGACTTGCTCCTGCAGGCATTGGTCAAAAGTCTTCGCTATAGCTTCCGGGTATGTTGTGGCTATCGTTCGGACTGCTATGGCGGGTATACCGTCGGGCCCTGGCGCTTTGCCGGTCTTCATGCTCTTAGCCGCATTTAGGAGCTCTTTTGCACCGATCTGTGGAGGTGTGGGGATCTCCCGGTGTCTGGGCACGTAGGCTAGTTCCTGTTGTGTGGGGAACAGTGCATCCACGATTCTGAACAATAATTCCGGACAGGTAGGCATTACCTTGCGCGCCAGTTTGCCCATCACCATCTTGTAGGCTAGGCCAAAAGGCTGCAGGTCTGCCTCCTTGCAGAGGTCCTTCCAGCAGTTTGCTTTGCTGCGTTTGATCTCCTTGGTGAGATGTGCCCGTTGTTGGTGGTAGATGGAGTGCGCTTCTGCCGCTTCCTGGGCTGCTTGGGGGTCTTGTGGTCTCCGCCTAGCCCTTTTCATGGTCCTCTGGTAGCAGCGTCTTGCTGCGTGGCTCCCTCTCCGCAGATCCGCTATTTCCTGCGACCACCAGTGCACTGGCTTTCGCTTCCTTCCTCCCATTTGCCTTTTTACCATGGCGGCTTCGCAGGCAATTTCCATTGCTGTACCTAGCGATTTAGCCTGCTGCTCTGCATTTCCTTGTATACTTTCGCTGCTTAGCCGGAACATGAGGAGCAGGCACTGGGTGTCCATGTCCTCCGTTTTCCAAGCTGTGCGCCTTATGTTTGTGGTCCGTCTGGTGGGTCCGTCGTCGATACAGCACGTTATGGCCCGGTGGTCACTATGCGTATATACACTTGCGACTTTCCAGGTGGCAATCCGCGCCAGTTGGGGGCTGGAAAGTGCGACGGTGATTACCGATCCACGGTCACCCTTTGCGTATGTTTGTGTACTTCCTTTATTCAGGAGCACCACGCTCAGGGTCGCGAACACGTCAAGAAGAACGTTTACGCGTGCGTTTGTCCTCGTGCTTCCCCACTCGGTAGCCCATGCAATAAAGTCGCCAGCAATGATCACTGGGGAACGACTGCGTGCATCTTTTGCTAGGTCTTCGAGTATGTTGGCGAACTCTTCCAGTTGTATGCTCGAGGCAATGTAGCAGCTGTATATGTGGATGCCCGCAATCTTTGCTCTGACATACCCAACTGACGTATGACGGGCGCTTAAGTCTTGTGGCTGGGTTCCACAGCTCCAGATCGCTGCTCCGTAATTTGCATTTGCATTTTGCATCCATACGTCTGGTTGTATTGTATTGTATTGTTTGTTTATTGTATTTCCTAGTGCTACAAGCAAGGGGCTTATAATTAGAGCACTAGTCACTAGGTGTCACATTAGTTTGGGATTAAACTTAGATCTAAATTAATCTTTTAATATGACATACTAATTAGTGGTTACATATATTGATTTGTTTTCTTATGCTGTAATGTCCTATTTCAGGCTGAGGTATGCATCAGTCTGTCCAGGGTCCTGAATTACAAGATATTTATAATTCACGAGGACTTTATCGGGAAACCAGGAACTTTGCCAGAAAACTGAAATAGAAATCACAACACTTTTTGGTTCTTTTAATTTTAATGGTTTTCTTTATTCTTCCGTATTCTTCCGTATGATTATTCTACCCGGTTATGTTATGTTTACTTGCACTACGACGCGGATGTTGATTTGACTGCCTCTTGCGATGGCTGATTGACTGCCTTCGACGATGGCTGGTGGACTGCCCTTTTCTTCATGCAAGGCAGTGCCTTTTATAGATCGGCCGGCCTTCGATTTTCCCATGAATGTCTTACAGATATCTTATTTCTACTCCAGAATGTGGGAAGGGTTCTTACATAAATATATATTGCCGAATTATAGTCTGCGCGTGCAGACAGGCTGATCGGTAACAGAAGGTTACCTAATCATTAGCCCTGCAGTCAGTGTCCAATATCCCCGGTAAGGAGAGTCGGAGACTGCTGACTGGCTTGCGCATGTGGGGGTTTTGCCCGGTAATCGAGGGTTACCTAAGCAATCGCCTCCCAACAAGTGTCCAATGTCCCAGGTAAGGTGATCGGTGTGCACCGGTACCGTGGGAAAGGAATTTCGTTGGCACTTCGGGAATATATATTGTTAGGAATATTTATTTATTTAATATTATTTCAGGTACTTATTGCGTAAGCCCCTTCTGCTGGTCTCCTGTCTTTTGGCGTGTGCTGAGTTTGCATTTTTGCTGGGTGTTGATCGCTTCACCTGGGAGTAGCGTTGGCTGCGTCATCTGCTTGTGACGAACCATGGGATCCATGGTTCGTTACACCCCCCCTTTCTTCCGGGTGGGTGATGGAGAGATTTGTGGCGTCGCTTGGCGGGTGCTGAGGTTCGCCTTTTTCCGGGTTATCCTGTCCTGTGGCTTGTGCCGAGTCTCCGGATTCGTCGCTGTTAGTCTCGTCACTTTAGCGTTGCGTCGGTAACGTTATATTTTCTACTGCGGTTGTGATCGTGGCCTTTCTGCTGTTCTGGGTGCTTTGTAGTTGGTGTAGTTGGTGCTTGGTGGGTCGATTATCCCATATGACGATGGTTTTCTCGGCGGTTTTCTTTGGTCGTTATTTGTCCAGGCATTCTCGAATCTGCGGGGCTATGTCGGGTGGCCAAGGATCCGTCGGTAGTTCTGGGTCGTCTTCGGTGGGTTCGGTGGCTCCGGGGTCAAAGGTTTGATTCGGGTTTTTCGGAAGGATGGGTTTGTCAAATGTGCTTGACGGATCGATGCTCCGGTGGTAATCGCTTATGTGGGCGATGATCGGGGAGGCGTTGGACGTGGGTAGAGTAGTTTTGTAGCTCTGGCGGAACACTTGGGTGGTATTGTCTCCAGACTGGTGCATGAACTGGCTGGTCTCGACGATGTCTCTTTTGTTGGACCAATGGCTTGTTTGGGCGACGGATGCTTGGGTCTGTGGGGCCAAGTCCGGTGGCCACGGCTCCGGGACTGGTTCGGGCTCATGTTCGGTTCGGTCGGCGGCTTCGGAGTCAAATGGCTGGCTGGGGTCTTCGGGTAAGAGGGTTGTGTCGAAGGAGCTGTGCGTTTCGATCCTCCGTTGGTAGTCGCTTATGTGGGCGACGATGGGTGTGGTGTCGACCATGGGTATGATGTTTTGGTACGCCGAGTGTAGTACTCGTGTTGTACTACAGCCAGACAGGTACGTGAACAGGTGAGTCGCGATGACGCCTCTGGTATCACAACAACGACTTTTATGGGCGACGAAGATCTCGGACATGGCTCTAGGCATGGCTCGGTGCATGACGCTAAAAATCATGTCAGTACGCGGAAGGTACTCCATTGTGTGGGCGAGGATCGGTGTGGCGTCGGCCGTGGGTACGACAGGGCTGCGGTCGGTGTATCGGGGGGCCATCGTACTGGTTCCCGGGCCCGCGTTGAGGGGCTCTGTGGATATCAGTTCAATTATGGGCCCCGACCAGGGTGGGGTCAGCGTGGCTGTTTCCCTTGTTGCTGGGCTGTTGATCTGTTGCTGCCGTTGTCGGTGTCGATTTTGTTGTCTTGGTTCAGGGCTGATTGTCGTCTCTGAGGGTGTTTCTATGTTCACTTTCTCCTGGGAGGAGAGGGTACTTACATGCTCTGTTGCTGGACTTGGACCTGGGCTTCCTGTGTCGAGCGCCGGGTTCCAGTGCGTTAGTGCTTGTCTCGTGGGTGAGATTCTCGTAGTTTCTTTGGGGTATGTGTCCCCTGTGGTTGGCCTAGGACGCGGTTGCTCCGTAGTGACCTTGGGACTCGTTTTCCCGTTTGCTTGATTGTTGTTTCGTGTTGTTGGTTTCGGCTTCATGTTCGTGGGCCGGCGCTTTGCCTCTGCTGGGGCTGAGCTGGGTGTCGTGTTCTTCGTGGCGATCGGGGTCGTTTTGTTCATTGGGGTAGGTCGTGGTCGTGTGTTCGTTGAGGTTTGTATGGGTGTCATGTTGGCGTGGCTGGGTGCCGAAATTGTTGGGATAGGTTGCGGACGTATGACGGCCGCCGTTGGCTTCAGTTTCTGGTGTCGGGGTTCGTTGCCTTGTACTCTGTTGGTCGGAACGGTGTGGATATGTGGTGTGTGGCACTGATCTCGTAATTGTAGAAGTGTGGTACCGCACTGGATCGTTGTTTCAATGGCGCATAGGAAGTCCATGCCGACGATAACTTGATCCAACATGTTTGGTAGAACCAGGAGGGGTATTTGAACTTCTCTTTGATCCAGTCTGATGTGCGCCAGTAGAATC